GGGGGGGGGGGGGGAGTATTCATCCTTGGAGGACTTTCAGGAAGACTAGATAACCCCAGGAGTAGGCGATGCGGTTCTGGGCCAGCGTGGAAGTCACCGGCTTCATGCTCCTCCTCCAGGCCACGGTCCGGTAGCAGAGGTCAGGGCTGGCCTCCACCGGGGCGCCCTTGTAGGCCAACCACCGGGGTTCCTCTCGGGCCACCTTCATGGAATGGCTTCTTCCAGCCATTCACTGAGTCTCGGGAGGCTGCCCCGAACACGCTCTCCACGTCCTCCTCTGAGCAGGCCAGCCTCGGGGCCGCTGCTTGGAGCCACCGGAGGCCCCTGAGCGCGGCGGCTCCGTCTTCGTCCTCCTCTTCCTCCAGGTAGCCGCGCAGCTTGACGTTCCTTCTCTGCCGCCGCCGCCGCTGCTCCTCCCGGGTGACCCGTTGCTGCTCCTACTTCCGCAACAGGGGCGGCTGTCCGGTTTGGGCCTTCCGCTCCGCCTCGGCGCCTAGCCCCTGTCGACGGAGGTGCTCAGCTCCACCAAGCTGAGGGTGCAGCTCTAGACCTTGGTTTCACTGTTGGGTTTGAGAGCAAACGCGTTCCCCTGAGCGTGTGCAGAGTTCCCCAGAGCCAGAACACGGTTGGAGCAGAATGTGTGAATAAATAAATATTTGGGGCACCTGACTCACATTCTATACTGCCTCCTTGGTCAAATCCAAAGGTCTGCAAACATATTTGCCCGCACTTTTTACTGGCCTAATTAATTAATGACACTGACAGGGACTTTAAATATATATATGCATGCGTGTGCTTCAGGGGCAAGGAATCTGGCATCAACGAAGCTGCCTGGGCATTGCTGTACAAAGCCCATGTGCTAGACTGCAGATACCAGGGCAAAGGGAGATGGGAGGGGGGGGACAAAAACAGGTTAGGAAGCCCAACAGAACACCTGCATATGTTTTCAGAAGTAGGCCTCAGAAGCCAGTAATGTGAGTCCTCCAACACAAGGAGTAAATTATCACCATACAGACATCATGCGGCATGTTGCTGGTTTTATTTTGCAGGACAGAGGAAATCCAGATGGAGGCAGAATCTGGGGGGGAAACAACAACAACAACACAATAACCCAAATCCAGTCAGTCAACAGAGTTTGCTATATTATTTCATTACTTTTTTAAAAAAAACTTGATTAAAATAAAAGCAATATGTAAAACATGTATTGGGCACGTCAGCCTATTTAAGCTGTATGAAATAAAGCTCTTATGGTCAAGATATGAGTCAAAAACATTTTCTCCCCTGCAAAAAATTATGTAAGAATCCAACAGAAACAGCAGGATTTAGGCTGGCTGCGAGTGTCGGCATGGACAAGATTGTGCAGTTCGAGGAACGAAATGTAATTTTCCACATGGTTCTCATACCACTCCAATATCTCTTAAAAGAACCACGAAAGACTGTCAAATTTTGTAATAAATGGGATTAAGAAAAACCCACCAAAAAATCCTGCCAAACCCACAACAGCATTTTCTTTCCCGGGGAGATATTCTCACTGAGATGCAGGGCTGCCCAGTTCCAAACAGCCTTTAGGAGGTGCCTTGATGGGGACAAAAAGCAGAGATGGCTACCCAAATAAATTCCACATTGGAATTTAAACAGCTGGTCCAGCTTGCCAGTCTGAGCCGCTTTGGACAAGCAAATCTCCTCTCAGTAATCCTTAACTGGGAAACCCTGGAAAGGTTGGCCGCAAGTTGGAATCGATTTGATGGCACATCATGAATTAATAGCCCACTGGGCCGTAGTGCCAGCCGGGCCAGGAACTGAATCCAGGCTGTGGCTGCTGGAAGAGGCTCAGGCAAGATCAACCAGAGGGAGCATCTGTGGCTGATGGGCTTACAGGAAGCTGCATAGGGATCCTAGAGCACCACCAGAAAGAGTGTCTCATTAGGAAACCATTTCTGAATATACCCTGAGAAGAATTGCCGTCCATAAGAATGGACATGACTGCATACAATTAGTTATTGTTCAAAAAAATTCCCAGCACAGTCAATCAAAACTGATCAAAATGTTGACTGGTCTTATAGAACAGATGCAAGTTTTAACCAAAACCCAAAGGATCTGTTCAGTACGGATGTAGTCTGTATGCGGTTGGTGATACTGGTATTGTTTGTTCTGACGTTGTCAACATTGGGATTTAAGCACCAGCAGGCTTCGAGGCTACATTCATCGGAGCAGGCCAGGACGAAGGCTGCATATTTTGGTTATCCCTCCCTATTTTTCATAGCCCAGCCTGAAAAAATGTGCTCAAGAACTCAAAAACTTCACATCTCGTTTTTCCACATTCCGAATATTTGGGTTGTGCAATTCAGTTTTTTTAAATTCAGGTCATGGGTCAGACAGCCGTCCTTCTTTGTGAAAAAGAGCAGTGCCTCAAAGCTAAGGCGCCTTTCTTTGGGTCTGATCCAGAATCTGGCTCAGCACGCGAATTCAAACTTCCTCTCTGGCAAGCTCTCGCAGGGGACTGAACCTCCTCCATCACTACTCACCTCAGGCAAAAATGAACAGGCTGGACGGCATCATGCTGGGGGGGATCAAGCCGTATTCGGAGTAGTACAACCAGGAGGCGTAAAACATCCCGACGAGGCAGGCGGTTCCCAGAAAGCCCTTGAAGATTTGCATAGCCCGAGACGAACCTGCAACGGTTAGCGGATGCTCCTTAGAGCCCTCGTCCGGCAAACCTGCACAGGAAGCCTCTGGTTAATGGGATCGAGGGGACTGTGCAGATTTTGCTCACAATCACCCATTGCTCTAAAGATTCTGGGGGCAAAATGGGGCAGGTAGGGTCTGAACGACAGAAAATGCAAAATTGCAACACAAGAGGGGAAGATCGAGTATCGAGCCGTATCTGCAGGGGTGGGGGACAAGGATGCTTTCAGGCTCCGATCCACCCCTGGCCTATGCGGCGCTTAGCTCCTCAAAGTGCAAGCCGAGAACATTTATGTACTCAACGACATCAGAGTAGAACGGGGGTTGTCCCTTCCACCTCTTTTTCTTCCCTTAGTCCTTAATATTAAATGGCAAACAGACACACCAGGGTCTTCTCCGCAGGGAGAAAAACTGCACCTGTTGAATGTGGGTCTGTTCAGGAGGTGCAGAGTTCGGTTTCTGTTCATTTTTGAACAGAAAAACTGGCCGAACACCACCTGCTTCTTCACCTCTGTTGAGGGTGGGGGGAGAACTTGAGGTTGGAAAGTGGGGAGGGGAAAAGAATGCAAAACAGAGACATTTCCGCCCGCCCCCTGAGTTCTGTCTATCTGTCTTCCAGGATCCTTCCTTAACCCCAGCCTCTCTCCCCCATGTCCCATGCTTCTTCACCTCTGTTGAGGGTGGGGGGAGAACTTGAGGTTGGAAAGTGGGGAGGGGAAAAGAATGCAAAACAGAGACATTTCCGCCCGCCCCCTGAGTTCTGTCTATCTGTCTTCCCTGTCCCGGGTCGTAGGCCTCCACTTCCACCTCAATGTCTTCCAGCTCCAGAGCCCCAGGCTTGTCTGGGGTGCCCTTGGTGGATCCAGCTCCGGGGGCCTGTTTGCCCCGTTTCTGGCCCCCGGGGGACTTGGGGAAGACCCCCCGGAGGAGGCGGAGGAGCTGAGCCCGGGCGGCGTCCGCCTCCCCCTTCTTGGGGTCCATGATGATCCCCACCAAGGCGCAGGGGGACTTCTGGATGAAGTGCTTGACCTCTTTGAGGACCTTCTGCAGCTCAGCCTGCTTGCCCTTGAGGCAGGAGGCCCGGCACAGGAAGAAGATGAGTTGGCACTCCCGGCCCCCCACGGTGCACGGGGCGGTGGGGCAGGGCCCCTTCACGAGGTCCCCGGGGTGGACCGGCTGGCAGGTGGCAGAGAACAGGTCCTTGACGAAGGAGGCCATCAGCCCGTGGATGTCTTTGCCCTCCAGGGTCTCTCCAATGAGGAGGACCTCCGGCCGGCCCCCCACCTTCTGCACCAGCACCGGGAAATCCTGTAGTCCCTTCTCTCTTGGGATTGGGACACATAGTGCTGGCGGAGCGGGGGGTGAGGTGGGAGCCTTCTGCGCTGAGGCCTGCCCCTCCTGGCTCATGTCCTGCGATCATGGGCACAGGGCTTTCCTGCCCTGTCTTCACCTTGAGGACTTACTCCATGGACACCCTTTCGATGTCACAATACAAACACACAGACACACACACACATACAGTCCCTCCTCCCAAGGCATGGTGAACCCATCCCCCCTGGTTCCAGTCTCCCTCAGAGGGTTTAGCCTCCGCCCTCCAGCATCACCATGATCCTGGAAGCCTTTCCAAAGTGGGGATGGATGCCTGTCATCTCATCATCTTTCTAACGCAGTGGTACCCAACCTTGGGCTTCCAGATGTTCTTGGACTTCAACTCCCAGAAATCCTGGCCAGCAGAGGTGGTGGTGAAGGCCTCTGGGAGCTGTAGTCCAAGAACATCTGGAGGCCCAAAGTTGGGGACCACTGTTCTAATGGATGCAATCCTGTCCTGTCCGGCTTTAGGTGGCTCAGTCCTTGGGATCATCCCCTGGACATCTTGATGCCTGCTGTCTCCTCCTCTTTATTTCTTTGCTAGAAGTGGATGTTTTTATGTTTAACCTTCCCCTTCCACTAGGGAGAGAGTCCACAAACTCATTAGGAAACCATTTCTGAATATACCCTGAGAAGAATTGCCATCCATAAGAATGGACATGACTGCATACAATTAGTTATTGTTCAAAAAAATTCCCAGCACAGTCAATCAAAACTGATCAAAATGTTGACTGGTCTTATAGAACAGATGCAAGTTTTAACCAAAACCCAAAGGATCTGTTCAGTACGGATGTAGTCTGTATGCGGTTGGTGATACTGGTATTGTTTGTTCTGACGTTGTCAACATTGGGATTTAAGCACCAGCAGGCTTCGAGGCTACATTCATCGGAGCAGGCCAGGACGAAGGCTGCATATTTTGGTTATCCCTCCCTATTTTTCATAGCCCAGCCTGAAAAAATGTGCTCAAGAACTCAAAAACTTCACATCTCGTTTTTCCACATTCCGAATGTTTGGGTTGTGCAATTCAGTTTTTTTAAATTCAAGTCATGGGTCAGACAGCCGTCCTTCTTTGTGAAAAAGAGCAGTGCCTCAAAGCTAAGGCGCCTTTCTTTGGGTCTGATCCAGAATCTGGCTCAGCACGCCAATTCAAACTTCCCCTCTGGCAAGCTCTCGCAGGGGACTGAACCTCCTCCATCACTACTCACCTCAGGCAAAAATGAACAGGCTGGACGGCATCATGCTGGGGGGGATCAAGCCGTATTCGGAGTAGTACAACCAGGAGGCGTAAAACATCCCGACGAGGCAGGCGGTTCCCAGAAAGCCCTTGAAGATTTGCATAGCCCGAGACGAACCTGAAACGGTTAGCGGCTGCTCCTTAGAGCCCTCGTCCGGCAAACCTGCACAGGAAGCCTCTGGTTAATGGGATCGAGGGGACTGTGCAGATTTTGCTCACAATCACCCATTGCTCTAAAGATTCTGGGGGCAAAATGGGGCAGGTAGGGTCTGAACGACAGAAAATGCAAAATTTCTACACAAGAGGGGAAGATCGAGTATCGAGCCGTATCTGCAGGGGTGGGGGACAAGGATGCTTTCAGGCTCCGATCCACCCCTGGCCTATGCGGCGCTTAGCTCCTCAAGGGGCAAGCCGAGAACATTTATGACATTTATGTACTCAACGACATCAGAGTAGAACGGGGGTTGTCCCTTCCACCTCTTTTTCTTCCCTTAGTCCTTAATATTAAATGGCAAACAGACACACCAGGGTCTTCTCCGCAGGGAGAAAAACTGCACCTGTTGAATGTGGGTCTGTTCAGGAGGTGCAGAGTTCGGTTTCTGTTCATTTTTGAACAGAAAAACTGGCCGAACACCACCTGCTTCTTCACCTCTGTTGAGGGTGGGGGGAGAACTTGAGGTTGGAAAGTGGGGAGGGGAAAAGAATGCAAAACAGAGACATTTCCGCCCGCCCCCTGAGTTCTGTCTATCTGTCTTCCAGGATCCTTCCTTAACCCCAGCCTCTCTCCCCCATGTCCCAACTGAACCCCCCCCCCAGACGTAGGGGCCTCCCACCTCTTGACTGGGCCAGGGCTTCGGATGCCCGGCAAGCGGCTTTCATGATGGCCAAGTGGCCTCGTGGCTGTCCCGGGTCGTAGACCTCCACTTCCACCTCAATGTCTTCCAGCTCCAGAGCCCCAGGCTTGTCTGGGGTGCCCTTGGTGGATCCAGCTCCGGGGGCCTGTTTGCCCCGTTTCTGGCCCCCGGGGGACTTGGGGAAGACCCCCCGGAGGAGCCGGAGGAGCTGAGCCCGGGCGGCGTCCGCCTCCCCCTTCTTGGGGTCCATGATGATCCCCACCAAGGCGCAGGGGGACTTCTGGATGAAGTGCTTGACCTCTTTGAGGACCTTCTGCAGCTCAGCCTGCTTGCCCTTGAGGCAGGAGGCCCGGCACAGGAAGAAGATGAGTTGGCACTCCCGGCCCCCCACGGTGCACGGGGCGGTGGGGCAGGGCCCCTTCACGAGGTCCCCGGGGTGGACCGGCTGGCAGGTGGCAGAGAACAGGTCCTTGACGAAGGAGGCCATCAGCCCGTGGATGTCTTTGCCCTCCAGGGTCTCTCCAATGAGGAGGACCTCCGGCCGGCCCCCCACCTTCTGAACCAGCACCTGGAAGTCCTGTAGGACCTTCTCTCTCGGGATTGGGACGCATAGTGCTGGCGGAGCGGGGGGTGAGGTGGGAGCCTTCTGCGCTGAGGCCTGCCCCTCCTGGCTCATGTCCTGCGATCATGGGCACAGGGCTTTCCTGCCCTGTCTTCACCTTGAGGACTTACTCCATGGACACCCTTTCGATGTCACAATACAAACACACAGACACACACACACATACAGTCCCTCCTCCCAAGGCATGGTGAACCCATCCCCCCTGGTTCCAGTCTCCCTCAGAGGGTTTAGCCTCCGCCCTCCAGCATCACCATGATCCTGGAAGCCTTTCCAAAGTGGGGATGGATGCCTGTCATCTCATCATCTTTCTAACGCAGTGGTACCCAACCTTGGGCTTCCAGATGTTCTTGGACTTCAACTCCCAGAAATCCTGGCCAGCAGAGGTGGTGGTGAAGGCCTCTGGGAGCTGTAGTCCAAGAACATCTGGAGGCCCAAAGTTGGGGACCACTGTTCTAACGGATGCAATCCTGTCCTGTCCGGCTTTAGGTGGCTCAGTCCTTGGGATCATCCCCTGGACATCTTGATGCCTGCTGTCTCCTCCTCTTTATTTCTTTGCTAGAAGTGGATGTTTTTATGTTTAACCTTCCCCTTCCACTAGGGAGAGAGTCCACAAAGACAATATATATGGAAATAAATCCAATACATGGAAATTAAATAAAAGTGAAAGGCCTGCCAACCCATGGACCTTCAACGATGTGCCAGGGGAAAGGAGAGCTGTGGGACAGTGTGGTGTGTCGTGGACAGAGTCTTGGGCCGAGAACCTCAGGAGACCTGGGTTCAAATCTCCACTTGGCCGTGGAAACCATTCCCTGGAACATCTCAGACAGCCCAGAAAATTTAGAAGGATGGTTGTAAATCAGAAATGACAGCGCAGTGTGGCACCCGAGGGGGACTATATCCCCAAAGGCCCCCTGAGATCTTTGGCAGCCATATCCATCCACAGATCCTTGTGGTTTCCTTGACCCGGGTGGGGTGAACTCTCCAAGGTCCTGAACCCATTTTGGAACCCGTGTCTTGGGGAGAAGCTTCCCTGGGCGCCCTCCAACTGCGGTTCTTGGGGGTGGGGGGTTTGGAGGGTTGAGGTTTCAAAGCACCACCGAAGTCTTCGTGATTTGGAACAACTCTTTCAAGGGAGGAGAAATTCTAGCCCTCGCTGCTGCTCGGAGCGAGGCCAGAGAAGGGCCGAGGGCTCCGGGGATCGGGGCGCAACCCCGAGGAAAACAAGAGGGAGGGGAGAGCGAAGTCAGCCCTATACTCCCCCTGCCTCAACTCGGGGGAGGGAAGGGCTGCCCCCGTCCTTCGCCTATGGCTCGGGAAGCGGTCCTCCCCCCTCCCGCTGCCCAAGCCTGCCCTGGCGGGGTGGGGTGGGGGGCTGGAAAGCGGCTGGGCTCTTCGGGGGAGCCCCGACGCCGGCGGTGACACCAGCCATT